GTTTTGACTTTTAAGATCTGGTTGTATCTCCAATTATTCTACTGTGATGTTGCTGACAAATTGTTTTGGTTTTATTCCTTATGGTGAGTCTGTCTTTTGCCTGTGACCTTTTTAAGTGGTGAGAAGCCCTCCCAGTCCTTATTTTGAGTAGCCCTTTTTGGGGCATTGTGGTGCTCAGTTATGCACTGGGCCTAAACCATGACAAAATTGGCGCCCAACGTGGGGCATGGCTCAATTTCAAGATAAGGATATTTAGCTGGGAGAGGTAACGGGCAAAATATGGATTGAACAATGTTAAAATGTTGCATGATCATAAGGAATTTTCTTTTTGTGGTGGTGAAGGGACGAGGTGTGGGTTTTTGTGTATGAACTACCCTGATGGTTATTGTTGTAAATGTTATATGGGGAAGTTTGATTTTGTTTAGGTGAATTTTGATAATAATTCTTGAATACATAATTTGCAGTAGCAAGGGGTGGAATGTATTGGGTTTTCTGTGAGGGGTTTTTGGTTGTGTCTTTGGTAACGGGGGAAGGGCTATGGAGATGGCCCTTTAAGAAGCTACCTGAAAAGCTCCCCCTTTTCCTTTGTCAGACCCACCTCTGACCAGGGCCAAGCCAATCAGCACCCCTGTGAATTCATGTATTTAAGGGTGGTGCAGGGCATGCCTCTCTCTCTCTCTGGCACCGGCCCTGACCAGCATGGCCCCAGGTGCGGGTGGTGCAGACCTGGCCCTGCCCGGCTGGGCTTGGCCAACCCTGACTGTAACTTAAGCTTAAGTTATGCACTGGGCCTAAACCATGACAGGTTTGTTGGTGATTGTGTTGGGTTTTCTTCTTCAAAGAAGAAAGTGATTGATAGAAAGTTAAAAATGCAAAACCAGATTTCTACAGTGTTATTTTTATACCTTCTATTTAATCTGAAGAAAGGAGTTTTGTCAAAATGTAAGGAATTGTGTAACGAAAATAATCTTAAGCCTTTTTTCAGGTTTTACAGACTTGAAGAATAAGCAGATGGTAACGAGCCTCATCTCTTTGTATGCACAAGTCGTTATCTGGTTCTGTCGATCCGGTCTCCTTCCCGAGGGTTTAGGTAAGGATAAACTGTAATGCATTTGTAACAAGGAGACTGTCCTCTGAGTGGTTCCTATCGAACACGTGCTTAGCCATGTTTTGTCAATAACTAGTCATGTTGGTTCAGTGACAACGTATGCTGAAGTTCTGTTGGTGAAATTGAGATTTACTGTTTTTTCAAATACGTAGTGTAGAATAATGCAAGCAGCTCCTTTCCTGAATGTTTCTTAGAAAAAGCAGTAAGCCTCTGACTTCAAGGAGTTGCTTATGTCCACAGCTTGAAATATGTGGGATTTTAAACAAGTTACTATTAAACAGCAAATACTGGAGTGCTTGTTTTTACAGTAAAAGCATTACCTGCATGTTTTGAACTTTATTGCTTGAGGAAAATATATACCTTGGAAACAATTCTTTATATGGATGGATTATACGTTCTATTAATTGTCTTACAAATGCTCATGTGACATGTTTAAAAAATAAATTCCCTTTGACAATTGTGGGATTTTTGTAGCGAATTTCAGCTTGGACTGCATATTTGGAACACTACATCAACTGTAAACTTGAAATGGCACTTGAAACTGGGAGTTGAGTCTTGCGTCGCTTTTAGCAAAGGCGGAAACAGGATTGGCTTCTTTCAAAGTTGGAGGCTTGCCTGTGTTTCTGCATGCTTAGCTTGTATGATCTTCTGTCTTTTTAGGCAAAAATTTTAGTTTAAAAATGTGATATTACTACTTTAACTTGGTTTTACTTTATTGCCTGTAGATGATGACATGCATTTGTCTAGAGCTTTCTACAATTACCCTCTCATTCAGAGCTACTATACTGGTCATCGACAGAAACTTGAGCGTTTATCAAGGTAAGCCTTACAGGAAAACTCTAGAATACTGCCACTGCGAATTCAGAAATAGAAGTGAAAAGCTTTTATATCAAAAGTTGTATTTGCTATGCGTAATGCATTTGCTGGGAATACTCTTTGACTTCAAAGATGCATGTGTTCTTTTGAACACAGAGGTTACTTTCCTGTGTTAAAATGTTTCTGTATACCTCTGCTTAGTACCATTTGTTGGTATTGTCCTATTTTGGTAGCATACTTAATTAATTGGCTAATCTCTGTAATTTGCTACTACTGAAGAAGACCCTGTGATTAGGAATAAAGAGGTGGTATCAATTGTATTGGCCTAAATCTAAATTATGTTTGTGTAATTTAATAAAATAGTTATGTTTAGTTGGCACACCTAGCGCTCTCCTGGCTTTTGGATAAAAGTCACCTCCTGATGTAAACTCTCTTTCCTGGACTAGCTTACTAACATACAGGTGATATGTCTTTGATTAGACGATCATTAGGTTTTCCTTTGGAAATTGTACTGAAAACTAATTAGAGGCCTACAGAAGCTTAGGCAGTGACACTGTGAACAGGGAGCTGCAAGATAAGTTAAGATGGAAGCTGCAGTGTATTAGGTATTGACTTTCAAAGTTGATATTACTTAGCTTACTTCTCAAGTAACTTATATACAGACTCATGTGTTCCTTAGAAGCACACAACCAACCTCTAGTGTGCCTTTTCTGCTTTTGATCATTGGGAAACTAAAGGGTAGCGTCGCAGTCAGCAGAGGCCTGTGGTGGACTTTTGAAGAATGTAGTTTTTAAAAGTTCATCCATCTTTAATTGTAGTGGTATGTGTATAGAAACACAAATGCTACTTAAGATGAAATTAAAATTTACCTGTATGCTGAACTCTCTGAAAGAAACACCCCTTTTTTCAGGAATAAAAGTGACATGCTGAGAACAAAAGCTGAAACTTCCACTATGTTGTCTCACAGCTGTGTAGTGGGACACTCCAATGTGAGGTGTTATATTCGTGTTAAGGAATAGTCCTGATACTTTGATACTGTTACATTTCCTCTGTTAGACACTATGAGCGTGGTGATTTTTGGCACTTAAAAAAACTTTGGTTAGACCTCCTTTGTATCACAAGTATACTACAAAAGAAACTCTGAAAACTAAAAGGTCATTGCAACTTTTCCCTTAATAAGAGAGCTTATAGGATTTCTGTTTGGAACTCCTTTAGTAATTGAATGTGATCTCACAAACATCTTTCATCTGAGTCAGAAGTTTCTTTCATGCACATTTCAAGTCACAATCATGCCTTTGTATGTTTGTTTGACTCACGGGGCCTTTTGTTTGTTTGGACTGGAGCAAATCTGTTAGACTGAGAGGTGGGAATTAGTGTTTTACTCTGTCCAAACCTTTGCTGCCTTTTTGTTTTTTTCAGAGGAAAATGGGATTCTGACTGTTTGATGATTGATGGAATGGTTTCCCAGTTAGGAGACCAAGTTGAGAAGTTGTGGCGGAGAGATGAAGGAGGAACTGGGAAATACCCACCTGCCAGTTTACATGTGAGTCTTGTGTTCACTGAAAACAACAACAGGCCCAAACCCCACCCAAAAGTCAATGATTTGTGAACGACAGGAGTTTTAAAAAAAAAATTTAATTTTTCATTTCAGGCACTGCTGGATCTCTATTTACTAGAAAGCATTGAAGAAATCTACAAACATGCAATTGTATCCTTTCTAGATATTTTTCTTACACCTTCAGTACATAAATGTTCTTAAATGTTTGTCATCTATGCATTCAATAACACTTCTTAATTTATGCTTCAAACACAATGCAAGTGTGAAAATATTTATTTAAATATTTAATTTAGAATTAAGTTGTAGGCAGAAGCATGGCTTTATTTCTTTGTACTGTGGATTTTCTATGGTTTTTTAGTGTTTTGCTGCAGTCTTTTTTGAGATGAGAAAACAGGTTTACTAAGCAATATTAAAGATAAAAAGCCTCTTTCATTTTTCTCAAAATTTAAGTTTTTAATTTTTTTAAAGCACCCATATCTATAGCAAATGGCTTCTTACTAGAATGATGCACTAAAACATGCACTAAAACATGCTGCTTCAGAGCAGAAGGATTTCTAACAGTGGCTTACCAGTACCTGATTATTGCTGAAATCATCTATTTTCCAGCACAGCTAAGAGTGCTTGCCTTTGTTCTGTTAAAAGTGCAGGCACACAGAATAACAAACAGGGAGAAAAGTCATTAGACAAAAAATTTTTAAGCTGCTGAAGTACACAGTACACAGATTTGCTTTTGTTGTTTGTTGCCTAACCCGAGAGGGGAGCCTAGAGAGCATGGGATTTAAAAATGGTTGTACCCCAGAGCTGTCTTACTAGAATATGTCCCTAAAAACGGACGTCAGAAAGACAAAAAGACGCTAGCAGTGAGTAATCCACATACTGTTTTAAATCCAGTTGTAGTCATTCAGAGCTAAGTTGTATTGTAAGGACACCATAATTTACATTGTTTTATACACTCTGTAAATGAGAGGGAAAAAAACTAAACAACAATGGTAGAATTTGTTTGCTTCAATAGTTAAGCATTGGATGTTCAAATGCTTTGAATATCTCCACTGACTAAAAAGAGAGCCTGAGTTTACAACTGAAGTATTGAAATATCTGAAGTTATCCTTTCTGAATGCCTTACAGAAATGGAGGACTATTTCTTTCTGGCTATTTATTTGGAATGCAATTTTGTGGTTAGTACCTGAGTATCTTCGAGTTAGACTAGCTGAAAATGGCAAGACTAATACTATTTTCTGCTTCCCACCACTTTCTTATTCTTATTTCATTGTTTTTCTAAATGCAGTGTGATAATTTTTTTTACTTATAAATTTATTAGCCTTAATTAGATACTTGATATCAGACAATTTACTTGCTGCTAGATATCATGCATTCATTTCCAAATAAAACAGAAACTTCAGTTGACTCCTTCCCAACTGTGTTTGCTATCCCTTGGGGTCTTGTTAAACTTATTCAAGGGTTTTGGCTTCTAGATCACAATGATTATGAGGTAAGTATGTTATCGTTTAGTTATATATTGCAGTACAAAGCTGTCATCTATAAAATGATTTTTAAAAATTGGTGTGTAGCTAATAGCAGGTGCTAAAACATAAGGAAGCTTTTTTGTAATATTTCTACAGCATCTTCAGCAATAAATTATGATTTGAAATTTAACTATTTTGACAGGAAATAGATTAAAACAAAGAAGAATTCAACTTTAATAAAGCTTGATATTTGAATTTTCAAAGCCATCCATTTAGATTGTTTTCAGCAGACTAGTTGAGCACTTTATCAAAAACAGTGGTTGAGGTACTTTAAATATTAAAACTATGATCATAGCAGCAAGATTTAAGTGACTTTTCAACCTAATTCATGCTCTTTCTGATGCTGAAAATTGTTTGCCTGTCAAGATGTTAACATAGTCTGTTCGTCTGGGAGAATAACTTCTTATTTAGTAATGTATTTCCAAAAAGTGGTGTTTGTATATAGAGATTTGATTAACCTAGAAAAGTGTGAATTACACCTTTTAAAACACTCACTTTGTTCTACATGGCTAACTGATTGTTTTTATGCAAATACTTAAGAATTCTTATTTACATGTCCTGAATCAAGTGTTTCATTAGTTAGTCATCTACATTTATTTAACACACACACATTCACCGTTACTTAAGGAACTTTTTAATGTTTTTGCTGCCTTATGTGCATGTATATGTCTTAATCAACCTGATCTCTGACTTCTGCAGAATTCACTGGCCCTGCTTTTTCATCCAGCTACAATCAAAACTGTGCCATGGCAACATACGAGAATTCTTCAGTCCCTCATGTGCCAAGGAGAGCATAGGCGAGCCCTCAGATACATACAGATGATGAAGCCAGCCGTGTCAAGCAGTAGTGAAGTGCAGCTTTTCCTCACTGTGTTGTTGTCCAACAGGTAAAGAACTCTATCCCACCATTGTGGCATTCAAATTGTGAAAAGTGAAGAACAAATAATACAAATTATGATCCCCTAAACTTCCTTTAAACTTGGAATACAATAATTTTGAGGCATCTTTTTGGTTATACTACTAATATTCCTTTACATCTCCACAAAAAACTAATTGCAGGTGCATGGTGGAGGCTTGGAGTCTGTTGCAGCAACACACCACTAAGTTAAGTATGGAAGAGCTGTTAAAACATATGTATGAGATCTGTCAGGAGATGGGACTGATGGAAGACTTACTGAAGTTACCTTTCACAGAGATTGAACAAGTAAGTGTGGACAAGAAAAAAAAAATCTTAATTGTCTCTTTGAAAAGAGAAGAGGCAGAATCGTAATAGATTTTTGGAATATGTTATATCTCACAGGAGTGTTTGGAGAAGTTTTTGCAGACGAATGCTGGTGCTCAGAATCATGAATTTCTTTTAGTCCACCATCTTCAGCGTGCCAACTATATCCCAGCACTGCAGTTGAATCAATCAATGAAGGTTAATCTTACGGTAAGCGTAAAAGTTCTGTCAAGGGTGCAAGTTTCTGTTAGGTGTTACTCACCAGTTTTGATAGTACTCAATAAGAATCCTGCTTTGTTTTTTATACCGTTCTTTGAAATACTGAGAATAAGTTTCTACACATTAAGTTACAGATGAACTTAGAAGTTGGACAAAATAATTCACTACGCCAAAGCTACTCTGTGAAGTTATAGGCTAAATGTTACAGACTATTGTTGACTACTTAAAATAGGTTGCTGCATCTAAGGAATAAATACACATCTTTTCTATCAGCCAGTCTTACAGTTTAGTTAATCACACGTGTGTAATGTATGGTTTAGTCTACTGAAAGCTGTCTGTGCCTCTTGTTTCTGTGGAATGAAGAGTGCGTTTTATGTCGTCTTTTCTGTCTTGCACACAACTTTATTTTTCTAGCTTCCAGGTGCCAACCCACAGGTAAAATTTGCGTGGTGGTTTGTTTATTTTCAATTTCTCAAATTATAGTGTGAATTGTGCAATTCCACAACTTTCTTTTTACCATTTTTATGACAGAAATTCTTATCTTAACTTCTGCATCTCAGAATAGCCAGATAAAATTTTGTGTTATGTGAACTTCTGTTATGGATCTGTGATGCACTTGCTCTTTTCCGGAACTATGGTTTTCCAGTGAATCAAACTTACAAGGTGGTTTTGGAAGATTTAGGTCCTGCATGTGAAAACTTTCATCCAGGCAGAAGGTGTGCGTAGGTAGCTTTTTCTTACTCGTTCTAATTTTTACATCATTTTGTCCAACGTAGTTTGCAGTTGTCGTGTATATCCAGTCATCTCGGACATTGGTGTTTCAGGAAAAACAAGAGAAAGCCTGCTGTTTTGTAAGCCTTTTGAAAAGTGGAGGTGATGACAAGTGTATCAGAATAAGGTTCTGCAGAGTGCCAGAATTATTTTAAGTTGTAGGTTCTGTTACTATTCTAGTCTTCCTTCCACTTTGCTAAAAATACCCAGTGAAATTTGTGTGCGCTGATGGGTAGAACTTCCTGCTGTACTGAGCAGTGGATGTTTTTACTCCATCTGTAGAGGAAATGTATTCACTGATTGAAGCACAGAGAGTTCTGTGCAGTGAACTTCTTGTAATTTGTTAAATTTTTTTCTTTATGCTTTTCATTCATCAGAATGATCGTGATCCTCGCTTGAGAGAGAGAGCAGTTGCCAGAAATTCTATGTTAGACCAATATGGCAAGATTCTTCCTAGAGTTCAGAGGAAGCTGGCAGTAGAGAGAGCCAAGCCGTACCATTTGCCTTCATCTGTCTTCAGAGAGGGTAATTTTTAGGGGGAGGAAACATAATGGACAACGAACCATCACTTTGGTTACACAAGGCTAATATTTTTTCTGCTTTTGCTTTTACAGTCACAAGACCAAAGCCATTGTCAACCATAACAAAACAAGCTAATGCAGGAAATGTGCATACGAGAGGAACTTTCATCAGTAACGTATTATCCAAAATTGGAGAAGTATGGGTAGGAAATGAGCAGAAAAGTAGTTTCTTACAATATAATAGGTAAGCAGCCTTGTAACAAAGTTTAGTCTGAAACTGTATGTTTGGAGAGGGAGAGAGAGAGAGAGAGAGAGAGACCCATTTGAATTATGTTACTGTTTTGGAGGGAAGGCACACCTGAATAAAGCTTTGTTAGGCATTTTTGCATGTACAAGATAATAACATTTAAGAATCAATAAATCACAAGTGATATTTAGAGAGAGAGTTTTTCTGCTCTGATACTTATTTATGGAAATATATTTATTTACATTATGGTAAATATATTTCCATAGTTTAAGACAGCTGAAACTAAAACCATGATTTACCATCAAGTTATTGGTGTACGGATTTTGATAGACTGGATCGTGTGATCAAATAATAATCCTTTACCACTTCCCGCTCAGTTTCTGATTTTTTACTTTAAAGTAGGCAGAATTATAAAGAGTGGAAAAGAGGCTAGTAGTTGTCAGATAATTTTCCTACAGGTGGTATGGTCTAATTAACTTGAATTCTGGTATATTTGGACTTCTGAGGAATGAAAGTCCATTACATTTTCCTCTTAATTCTAGTCCAAGAGTTATAGAACCACCAGTCATGACACGTCCTTTCCCTGATGCGGAGTTGCGTGATGCATTTGTTGGGACACCGGTTTCAAGAAAATGTTCCAGGTATAGTAGATCAACAGAAATTATTATTTCAGAAAGATGTATACATCTGTACAGGAGGAGCCACATATATGTACGTATGTGTGTGTATATATGTGTGTGTCTGTGTAAACTTTGTGTTTGCAAAGTGTTCTGTTTGAACTTAGTTCTTTATGTGGTAAAGAAAAGGTCAGCTTAGGAACACAACTAAGTGGAGAACTTGAAGGGGTCCCAGCACTGAAATGTAGAAGAGGTTTCTCCTGACATGAGAATTGCATTACTTGTACAACTTAAAATGGGATTACTCTTGCCTCAGAGGCAGTGAATTAGGGAATTCAGTATGAAATGTGAAGAAATAATTTAAAAGAAGAAAATGCTTGTAACTTGTTTGTGGGCCTGATACATCACCCCAGCAGTGAGGGTTAACCTATATTTATTGTTTGTCGAATGCCTTTGTTATGTATCATCTCAGTTTCTTGAATGCAGTGTGATTTTTTTGTCACTTATTTATTTATACTCGTATTTTAAATTGTGTATTTTAACAGATTGCTGGATTTGGTGGTTTGTCCTGTTCCTTCAAGTTCTGCAGCACAGGGTGGTAGCTGGCAGTCACCATGCAGGCCTTCTACTTCATTCATGGCATCCAGCCCACTGAAATCAAATTGGCATGGTCCCATCTCACAAAATAGTTTTTCAGGAGCATCAGAGCTGAATTTACTAGAGACTCCTCTTGTGGTTAAGGTTTGTATTTTTAAAAAACTGGTAACAACCAACCAAACCAAAAGCCTGTAAATGTTGTTTAAAATGAAACCACCAAAGTATTTAGCACACACACTGTTGGATTCAAGCTGTGGAATACTTTCAGTATGTGTGTGTATACCATCCTTTTAGAAGCAGTACACCAACCAGGTTTGAAGAGGAAAAGTTTAGTTCTAAATTAGTTGCAGTATGCATGTCCCATAGCTTAATGAAATAAACTTGTGTTTATTGCATGGTACAAAGCAAGTAAAAATTGGCCTTTTCAATATGCTTAGATACTTAAAGATGCAATTTGTAGCTTATATTTGTATTCTTATATTTGCGGCTCATTATTGAAGTGCTTAATAGCTCTATATAATTTGACTTGCGTACCTACAAGCAAGAACATATATGCTTCAGTTTCTTAATCTAGTTTAAGTGAATAACAACTAAATGATGTTAGTTAAGTGCTGTCAGTCTCTCTTAAATTCAGTCGTGGCTTTTTGCAGTTATTTTAGTTATTGATTGTTTGTGTTAAGCTGTATTTCCATTCACTGCCATCAAACTTGCCATGCAAGGAAGTAACACTTGACCTAACTTCTTGCTGCTGTTCTTTTTGCCTTTGCCTACCTGAACAAAATAGTTACGATCTCTCTGAATTACAACCTTTTTCTTCATATTAAATATTATCCTTATCACTAAGCTAGTTTCATCCTCCTCCTTTTTAAATGTTTCAATACTGTAAAATTTTTTTTGAGGTGAGGTGAGAAGACCTGAGTGCTTCTAGGTGATGTGTAGTTATTTTTACAGCAGTGTGGCTTGATTCATTAGTGAAAAAATAAGATATGCTGTTGCTTTGCTGGTGCCATTTTGTTTTCAGTAGCTGTATCCGAGGTAACATTTGAAATTGTATGCCTTTTAGAAGAACAGGGTAGAAATTGCAAAATTTACTGGGATGGGAGATAACATTGCGGACAACAAGATGCCATATCTTTGTTTCTTGAGGAGATTAATTAAAAACAAAAATTTGGCATTGAAAAAAGCCAAAAGGAACATAAATAGCATGTTTTTTTGTCATTAAGGTTTTGGTACCTTTGGTAAAAGAGCAGCACAGAGGCTAAACTATATTCTCTCTGCTGGTACAAACTCAGTTTGTAATTTAAAGTAATACTTTTGACAAGTGAAATCTTCTGTTTTGAAGATTTAACTGGTTTAAAATTAAATATTTTTTTCTTTTCATAGAGAGCTAAAGGTTTGGCCACATCTGCTTCTGAATTTCCTGGGTTTACTCTTCAGTCTATTCTCAGATCCAGCCTTCGCACCACCCCTCTAGCAACTCCCTCTGCATCTCCAGGACGATCAGTTACTCCTCCTCTACGAGCAAAGGAACCTAGAATATCTTTCAGGGAGGAGAACTCCAATGCAAAATGGACTGTTGGGGTAAGCTAGGCTGTAGTTATTGAGTTTTTTCAGTTAAAGGTTTTATAGACTGATCTGTGTCTCCTGTATTAATTTCTTAGTAATAATGCAATGTGGCCAGAATTATTTACTTGTGCTGTGCTACAGGCATAGCAAACACTAAAGTATTTTAGTAGTACCTACAAGTTGAAAAGGCAACCATAAGAAAAAAGAGATCTTGAGTTATGATTTTGGGTGTGCAAAGCTTCCTCTTCTTGAAAACAATAGTGAACCCAGTGAACACCCTTGAGATGATAGTATAAACAAGTACTTAAAAGACCCACTTCATTGTAATTCTCAAAGGTTGTGGAAACTCAATGAGCAATCAAAAGTGTGATTAATTTTTACACTCGGCTTTAAAAGTGAAAATAATGCTAGAATGAGAATTAATTTGGTAACGCCTTGCATAAGTTAATATTTGTAACTTACAAATATCAGTATATGGTTTTATATATGACAAAAGGCATATGCATGTTACTGATTTTGTTTGTTTGTTTTTTTCCTTCAAGGTAGCAGCAGATGATAAAGCCTTACCTGGACCTTCATCTGAGCATTGTCATGAAATGGTGGAGGATGCTTGGTCTGAAAGTAGAGATAAACCAACTCTGTTTACTCTCAACAACCCTGAGGATGCTAATGCTGAAATGGAAGAGTCTAGAGAAAGCATACCTGGAGATAGTTTGGAGAAAATGGATGTCAGCAAAGAAAACAGTAACTTCTCTGTCAGGTCAGACCAAACTACTTTAGAGTATCAGGATGCAAAATCACCTGGCGATTTTGAAGATGATGTCATCTTTATAGCTGCTAAACCAGCTAATTCTTCCACTGAAGAAATTGTTGATTTTCAAGAATCTGAGAAGGAAGAGGACAGTGAAATGGTTGAAGATAAACCTTTCCGGATAGAACAAGCAGATTCATCAGAATTAGGAAAAGAAATTGGTGTGTTTCATCTTGTGATAACCTAAGTTTCTGAATTTTTCAAATGTCTTCAAAAGGTTAAATAACTGCTTAGTACAGCAGTTAACAATCAGGGTTCTTAAGTGTCCTGGAAAGTTCCTAGTTCTAGGCTTTTAAAATTGACATGCTCTGTTTTGAGCCTTTCTTTAGGAACTGTGGACACTAGGAATATATACACACAAGAAATGCCAGCCAAAAGTGGTAATTGCAACTGAGAGGCAGCAGTGATTTGAAAGAGTTTGGGGCCTTTTAATGTATTACGTCAGTAATGCAACAAGTTCAGTTTGTAAACAGATTATCAACAGTAATTGTTTTTTTTTCCTTGGTGAAAATTAGGCATCAGACATCTGGTTTTACTGCAAAGAAGAATTCAGACCTGTGCATTTGCAGTCTTGGTAGCACTATTTTGTTAGGTCACTATCCTAGATGAAATGCATGAAGGCTCACTTTAAAATTATATGAGCATTTTTAAAGAAATGATGTTAAGGTACAACAGAGGAGTCATCCATCTGTCTGTTTTTGTAGGATTTGTGGAAGAATCAAATGCTGAACGTCTTACCCTTCCTGAGGATGATAAATTGGTGTTTAATTTACCAGCAGCTGAGGCTGCTACTTTTGGGACTGCAAGTGAAGGGTAAGTTAATAAAATAGATACGTTTTTGGGTTCACACAACATGTGACTGCTTGCTTTCCTGTGTTTGAAAACTATGATTTTTGACCAGGTATTGGTTCTTTCCTGTGTTAAATGTAACGGCTTTTTTTACTCCTGTCTGTCTGCGAAGAGAACTATTTTGGCATGAATGTAAGCCCAAGTGACTAGCTGTCAGTTTGAGCCTTTTCTTTCCTCAAATAATTTTGGACTCCAGAGTATGGTCATAAAGGCTTCATTCAGCAGCCCATATACACCTTTTGACAGCTTGAGGATACTGTGAACATAAGCCCTGCTTTTGTCTGAAAATTGTGTAACTAAAAATTACACCTGAGATTCCTGTAACATTGGTGAATTTATTCCGGGGTTTGAATACTTTCAGGCAGTATTTTATACACTTAATTTCTATTTTCTGTGTGCGCTCAATTAGCATCTATTTGTTTATAGAAGGGGAAGCAGTTTTCTCACCAGATACTCTAAAAGCTGCAACTGCTTAGTGATAAAGACAGAATGTTATTAGTGAAATTGGCCTTAATCTCAAGTGGTAACATGCGCTGGTACGAATACTTATTTGGTTTGTTTTAAACCTCCAGTATAACAGTTGCACTCTTTCTGTAGAAGACAAACTATATTAATCTTTTAATACAACTCTGTTGTTATGTTGTTATCTAGAGTTAGATAGCTGGGAAGAATTTAAAGTACTTGATTTGTTGTATAAAATGAGCCATGAATTAGATGTAGATATATTGGTAAAGAAATTTTTAATTCTATTTTTTTCTGTTTTGAAACTTGAGGATCTTATGGTGAGAAAGTGAACTGTAAAGCGCTTCAAGATTTTTTTTGAAGCTTTATGATGAATTTATTTCTTTCTGTTCATGAAGTGAAGCAAACCACCAGGAGTCCAAAATGTCCACTTCATCAGAAGAAAAAGCCATACCAGTTGCAGCAAATGAATCCCCGGAGGCAGACAATGAATGTATGTACAGTATGTTGGAGATGTTATGTGAGTTAATGTAGCTGAGCTGCTGAAGTAAAATATGCAGTTTGCCAGACCGCTACAGCTGTCTTGGGTTGAAGTAGTAGTAGGATGTTCCTGCTAACTTTCATTGAACTGTAGAGAGAATACCCTCCTCAAAGAAAGTCCTTGTAGCAGATACGTTGTCAGTGTTCCTGGTCTTGATAAATATATTGAGAAAACTGGTAGAATTGAAAATACTAGAAGGAGAGACAAGTATTTATTTTAGTAGTGCTTGTACACCACTTCTAATTTGTGTGCTGTGGGGTCTGCTGCTTGAGTTACTATTTTAAAAGACGGTGCACTGTTAGTATTCAGGCTCTGAAGACTAACTAGCTATCAGTATGCCTCTCCAGCCAGCCTTTCCTCTGTTGTTTCTTTTCTCTATGGAATTGCCAGCTGATTTCCCCCTTCTGCTTTTTTAATTGTGGGGCTACCTCATTTACCAGATAGATCTGGCTTCTAGTTTTTTGGAGAAAGTCTAATATTTGTGGCAGGATCAAGAATTGTATTGTTGGCTTCTGCTCCATCTGTTAAGTCCTTTTCCTTAAACCTGTTTCATTTATATAGCAGTTAAGTTCAAATTATATAAATCTCTTCCAGCTGTGATAAGTATCCTTGACAGCGAGGATGTGGTTAGTACACATTCAGAAAATCGCCTTGAGGAGAAGTGTGTGGATTTGCCTGAAGAATGTAAGCTAGAAGCAGCTGAAGTTGAAGAAAATGTTCCTTTTCTGCAGAAAGAAACAGCTGTTTCTAACAATCTTCCTAAGACTGAGGAAATTAATGTAAGTAACCTATTTTCCCATTTTCTACAAAATTGAAAACACTTTGCAAATTGAGGACAGTTCTGTCTTACTGGCAATTAGAAGGCACACAAAAACTTCTCAGATTTCTTTAGCTGGTTAACACAAGTTAAAACCTCAGTGTAAGGGCAGGTAGGTTTTTTCCTCCGTGCATTTTCTGTACCTATAACACAGAATAGAACCTGTCAAGACTTGGACCTTTGAGAGCTGTAGTAGTGCAAAACAAATGCCTAAACTATATTTTAAAATAACCATGCATTCAGTTGGTTTACTAGAACTTAAATGTTTCTTATTTGATTTTAAAAAATCGTTTTAATGTTAAAAACAATAAGGGAAGCTGGTGAGTGCAGCCTTTCAATACTGGGGGCCATTTACCAAAGGACAAAATGATGCAGGAACCAAACCTCATTTTCAGAATGGTTTAGGTGCGGGGATCTTTTACTGTTTGTTCCTTATTACCATAAACAGAATTCCCAATGAGTTCATTTCAGTGTCAAGATATTTCCAGCTGCCTAAAACCACATTGTTTTTTTAACATCTACACTTTTTAAAATACGAATTTCAAAAGGTGGTTCACGTGGACTGAAAATTAGAACTACAGATTCTCCAGTTGTCCCAGGTTTTTCCCCATTGTTCTTTTATCTGCTGGGGCTGATGAGTCATGTGGATTCATCGTGGATGTTGTCTAAGTGCCGTGGAATATACTGTCCATTTTCCCTAGGAATATACTCTCAGGAATTAGTAGTAGCTAGAATGAAATACAAATTGAAAGGTAGGCGTACCACAACTAGATTGGCCTTAAGTAACAGAAAATGCTTTTCAGTGTCCCAGATTTCAGATGAACTTAAAGAGGCAGTGAGTTATTTAGCTGGTCTTGCTTTGAGGTTAGGACAGCACTGTAGCGAAGATTATTATAGACTTGGGAATACATAAATCACTTACGGGAGTAAACGGAGAATTTGTGATGGGAAGAAGTGAGCAGGTGCATGAGATGCTCACAACGCTTCTGTAGTCGTTCATGTAGCAGTACAGTGAAGGTTTTCCTGCTTCTGTTATAACTGCTTCTTACTGATTTGTATGTAAATAGCTGGTTTTGGCTTGGCTACCTTCACTGAATTGAGGACAAACTACTTACTGCTTTCTTGTTTGTAGATTTGTAAGTGTAAAAGGAAAGTTTATGCAGAGTAGTATGTCTTGAGTTTAGTTTTGAAGCATGGCATGTTGCTGTAGTGTGATGCTTTAGCAGCTTATGACAAGGCAGGAGGCAAGGAAATAAGCAGACTCTATAGAGACTCCTGTTGAGTGGCTTCTTCCTTCTGCCATCATTGACTAGCACTGTAACTCAGAGGGTTGGTCAAAGGTCTTTACACATGAATTGAGTTATCTTGACCATTTGAATCACTTGAAATGCGTAACAGATACTTCTTTCATTCTCAACGTGAAAGTTTGAGTATCTCATGTGGATGTAGAAGGGAAGAATAATTGCTTAGTACAGGGAATTACAAAACAAAAGAGATGGAGTTATTTAGAGTGTATATGTTGTCTCATGCAATCCAAGGGATTCCTTAAACTGCAGGGTTGAGTTGTCGGATGTCATACCTGGCCAGTTTGACCAAGTGTTGTGGTCACAACTCTCATGACTGAAACTTTAAACCTTGGGAACATAATTGTCTTTTACCCTGTTAGATGCAGAGTCAGTCACTCCATGTGGATTTTAATACAGAAAGCACTGCAATGTGACGATTACTGCCAGTTGTGTGTACAGCTTGTATTGTAAAACTGCTCTTTGTTCATGGGTAGTGGCAAATCGTTAGTCAGGAACAGAAAGAACAGAACTGGAGCATGGGTTTGCATACACTGAATACTCTGTTCTTAAATGCATAAACTTTTATCTGCAGTAGGGAGTACATTGTGTACACTTTACTTTCAGTGGTGATCTGAAAGGAAAAGCATCATTTCACTGTCCTCAGTTTCCTCTAGCTTGGTTTGAAGCTAGCCTGTTTGGTAATTAATAATGCATTAACAGAGATTATATTTTTTTAACTAGGTTCTTGAAGATAGTGCGGTTAAAGCACCAACCTTGGAAGAAGCACCTGAAGCATCACCATATAGTGAACTACATCCATCAGGCAATCTTCAGTACAGCTATGATACTATAGAGCAACAGTTTGCATGTGATTTGCCTGATCATAACGATGATGAATGTGATGCAGCTGAGGGAGATGGAGAGCTTTTTCTGTCTCAGAGTAATTTTACTTTAGTCTTGGAAGGAGAAGAAGGTGAAGTGGAGATGGGAGACCCTGCATTAGTAGATGTTTCTAAACCAGCTGGCACAACAACAGAGGAAGAACCTGGGAACAATTTAGGAAATGCCGAAAACCAGGAACATGTTACAAACTCAGTGTCCACTGTAACTAGTGATCAGGAATCTCAAAATATTGCAGAGTCACTCCCATATGTGCCTGAACCCATTAAGGTAGCTATTGCTGAGAACTTACTGGATGTAATCAAGGACACAAGAAGTAAAGAATTTACATCTGAAGTTGTAGAACAATCTATTCATGAAACCATAGGTAAAAAAGTAACTAGATTCCAGAAGGCAAAAACTCCCTTAGCAGCTGTGCAAGAAGGAGTGGAAGATGAAACCAGCAGACATCAAGTAGAGTACGTTATCACTCCCAGGACACGCACAACGAGACAGCTGAGCAGAAGTCTAGATATTCCATTAGCAGGTGCTCAGCAGCTACTGAAGACAGACAAACCAGTGCTGATTGGACTGTCTCCTAGGAGAAGTACCAGGCGAAGAAAAGAAGCATCTGAGGCTTCTAGTCTTCAAACAGAAGAAAATGCTCAAGATGAGCAAACACCTGCATTGCCTGTTACTCCTAGGAGAGGTAGGAAGCCTAAACAGAGTAATTTAGAAAAAGTAGAAAGCAGCCATTCTGATGGACAAACATTGTCTCAGTCTGTAGCCGTTACTCCAAGAAGAGGATTAAAGAGAGCAAAGGAAGCTGCATCTGAACACTTGGAAGAGGCTAGTGAGGAAACATCTCTTGCCGAAAGTAGCATTATTGCCTTTTCTATTTCCAGAAGGGCCGGAGGAGGAAAAAGTTCAGAAGGAGATCAAGAAACGAGCCAGATTGACACTGATCATAAAGTAAAATTGGCAGTCAGTCCCAGCAGAAGTGCAAGAAAACTGAAGAGCATTAATTTACAATTCACTGAAAATATTGTCAAAGGTGAAGAGGTGAAGCCTAGTGATGAACTTCTTTCACCTATACCAACTAAGAGAGGCAGAAGAAGGAAGATGAGTTCGTCAGAAGCTTCAGAAAATTCTGACCTTGATCTGTCCAAATCGTCACTTCCTCAAACAGGTTTTAAACTTCCTGTCACTCCTCGAAGAAGTGCTAGGAAGGGGGCACAAAATGTCTTGGCAGGCACAGAATCTCTCTCTACTCAGGAAGACATAAATTCAGGTGGAAAAGTGGAAGCCCTTGATACTCCTAAGAAAAGAACAAGAGTTCCACGTGCTAAACCAGAAAAAACTGATCCTCATGAGCAAACACCTGTACAGCCAAAGGAGGAATCAACCACACCCAGCACTACAGTAAGGACAGGACGCAGGGGCAGGAGGAGACGACTGGAGAGCACACAGGAGGAGGCCTTTCCCCAAGGACCTGGTGGCAGCCCTTTGCTGCTTGAGGGCCTAAACCCATCAGGACATGGTGACACATTAAGAACTCCAACAGATCGTCTTATGGGAACCAGATCCCGCAGAACTGCTGCGCATCAGAAACTGCCTGCTGAGAAAAAAGAGTCCTTCCTTTTCTCTCCTCCCCTCACAAAGCTGACAGAGAAATTCAAAGGTAGGTGCGCTATGTTTGTATGCAAAATAGGGCATACTGCTATTTTGTAAGCTGCAGAAAATAGACTGTGAGGATGGCTTTAGGTAGTGTAAAGAATGTAACCATGCAAAATAAAATCTGGAAAGAGGCAGTGAATCTTTATTCTGAACTCTACATGACTGACTAGTTCTGGTGGAAAGAGATGAGGAGACTGATCTGAGTAGAGTCAAATGAAATTAAGGCTGAATTTTTGTCATGAGCTTAATGTCTTACCTTCCAGTTTTCAAAACTGATGTCTTTTAATATGTAATTGCCATCCTTTCCCCCAGCAGTGAAATAAAGGAGACATGCCTTCAAATGCTGTCTAGTTTTTAAGTTAAAATGAGCTGCATCGTGCAACAGACTGTACAGCTGTTTAATTTTGTGACTTCCATGGGCATAAATTTCTTGAAGTTATTGCTCATGGGGTTCTTCTTATTGGAGTACATGATAAATTATTTTATTTTTAGATGTGTAAGGACTGTTGATGCCTCTTGAGCACATCTGTGATTGTGTAATAGCAGGTAAAATTGCTACACTGGCTTATTTTTGTTCACAATTTACTGTAAAAGAATGGATCCCAGGAGGCAGTTACTAGCGGAAAAATACCTCCACATTGAGTGTTTATAAACCTGGTTGGGTCTTTTATTTCAGGATGCTCTTGTGCTCTTGATTATCACCTGTAATTTAACATAACTGTCCTTTATGTGTAATGTACGTGCATGTTAACAATACATTTTCATTTCAGCTGGAAAAGAAGACCATCCAGTGCAACTTAAGGATTTAGACCCAGACTTGTCTTCTCAGTTTGTCTTTTCACCCCCTCTTTTGAGGTCAAGGAGAAAAAATGTATCTAGCATTTCCCGAATTGTGAAAGAACCAGTAAGTAAAAACTTTGAGTTGTCTTATGTTCTTGATTTTTGCTCTGTACTGTTTTTTCAAATCATACTTCGCAAATCATACCTCACTTTTTCCATGAAAGTAACAGAAAGCTTTAAATTAGTCAGCTAAACAATGTATTTTTTTTCCTTCATGAAAACTACCTACAAAAATCAATTTTTAATCGATCTAAGTCAAGAATCAATAAGTATTTTTTTTTGCCTTTAGCAAAAGGCACAGTGGCTTTCTTTAGATGTACTTGGTGTGTTATCTTTTAACTGCAGAATATGAACTTTTAGGATGGTACAATAATTTAAGATGGAAGGTTTATTTGTGCAGAGAGGAAACTGTAATGCTTTTTGGAAATAACTTTGCCATGACTTCTTTGTGAAAGAAACATCATTGGTATTCTGTAGAATTGTAAGAACTTGTGCATGAGTAATGTTTTTGTTGCCTTAACATAGGAGCTTCCAACTAAAGAGGAAGAGGATGCCAAATCCACAGAGTCTATGGGAAAGGAAAAATTGAAGAGAGGTAGAACTGCAAAATCAAAAACAAAGAAAGCAAGCAAGTATGAAATTCTTTTTGAACACTTATTGGCATTCCTTTATTGTGGCAGTGATTCAGCCCTTGGTCACCAAACTTCCTCACTTGGCTATGCAGTTCTGCTCTGGCTTTACGAGACGCCCCACTTAAGGGTTTCGTTTTCTAAGGGAAACAGAGGAGGGAGGGGATAGAAAAGATCAAGTGGATACTACTCTTTGCAATGATTGCATGCTCTTATGTTACCTTATTCCACCTTACGAAACCACACGCTTATGGTCTTCAGCTCTGTAAGGCAGGAGAGGGGGATCAGACACTGAGTAAAGAGGACTTGTTTCCAAACATGTTTTTTGGTTCTTTCTAGAAAACTGTCTAGGACATTTGCTTCTAAAAATCTGGGGTGGGGAGCTCTAAAAGCTCAGAGGAATGAGAATACTTGGGACAGTCTGGTAAGGAATTAAAGCAAAAGGAAGCTTATTTTTGTACCTTTTCTGCCTTGATCCTATCTACAAAGAAGCCCATAAAAAATTCTTTGGCATTGATTTTGTAATTCGATGTGGGTTTTTTTTCTTCTGCTAAATACTGTTAGTAATAAAAAGTCAGTTTGATACTTCTCTCTGTGTTCAGAACTGCAAGAAAAGAAGGTTCTTGGTCACCTCCACCAGTGGAAATAAAATTCATCTCTCCTTTTGGAAGTCCATTGGATGGAGCAAAGAGCAAACAGAAAGAAACCGCAGATGTGGCAGAGAAGACTCTACGAAAGAACAAAAAGAGACTGTCTAATTTTCCAAAGCCAGTTGTGCGCCGGAAGATGCTGTAACTGTTCTTTTTTAAGCTTATAATGTACACCACTGTTTGTAAAGTCATCAAAATTGTATGGATTAGTAAAAAAAATCGTCTAATTTGGAAGAGATAATTTATATAAATTATTGTAAAATTTCATAAACAAATTGTCTTCAATAAGTAACTCCATATGGAGTGCGATTTCCTCAGTCAATGCAGTTTTCTATTTTATATTAAGACTTCATACATTTATATAATATGTAAATACAGCTTATTTTAGGAATGTTAAATAAACGTGTGTACTTCACAAAATGCTTACTGTCTGATAGCTTTTTGAGAGAATAGTGGGTTGAATGGCCTGTATCGCTCAGAAATTTTAATGTTGGTTTGCAAGAGTTACTGACCCTCAAAAGTGAGGTCAAAAGCTTTTTAAGCTTTTAAAGTTTGCTTAGAATTCTTGTAATAAGTAAACATTTAAAACATAGTACTTTAAATTTTATGAATTTTGTTTGACCTTCTGGCACAAAAAATTGGGCTCTCAACACAAACTGTTAATTTTACAGTACAACTTAACCGTGAATGTATTGAAGTCAGAATGTAAACAATTGTGTTTTAAGCTGTGCAATATTTTTTTGTATTTGTCTTAAACTTTGGGAAAGCTGCTCCTTAGTTCATAAAACTAGATCACACCTCAGATACTTCACTACTTTTTCCAATTTGTTGTCAGCAAAAAATAAACTCTATAGGAGATGTGAAGATTACAATAGCATATCAAATTCAAAGGGATATTACCCACGTAATTTGAAATTTGAGCCAAAACTATTTTCATGAAGTTAGTAGGGATGCTACTATAATAGAAATAATTATTGTCTGTAAATATGTTTGGTGGTATTTGAAGCCTGCATATCACAGCACTGAAAACCTGATGGTAAAGCTAACATAATAGCCTGAAAAAGGTACAAAAATGTACAGAAATCTTAGTTACAAACCATATTTTTGAATACTTAGTTCATTAATAATCTTGGATTATGGAGTAAATGTCCCTATAAAGCTTCAGTTTGTAAAAATAAATTCAAAAAACTATTCTTTTAAAAGTAGATACGGAAGTACTATTTTGATGTGCAGTCTTTTAGACAATGGTTTATTTTTATGTATGTTAATTTATATATGGATGCAACTTTGAAGACTACAGAATGGTGGAACCTGACATTAAACTTTACAATTAGTAAAAACTACTGCAGTTACTCTAAGAAATAATTTATTGGTTAACTAATACCTTGTACCTAATGGATGAATGTATTAATAATAGACTAATCTTGTAAAAGTAGTTTCTTCTGAGGCCATGATTTTTCTATGTCAGAACAAGTCATAGAGAAGCAGTTGCATGCACTTGGGTATTTTTCTCCTTGGGAGTATTCATGACTGAATGAAGTCTTAAAAAAAAAAAAAAAAAAAAGGCAAAAAGCCAAATGTTGACAGTGTGAAAGTGGCAGCTTGAGTGAGACCTTTCAGTCAGGTTAGTAATTATTTACTCTATTTTTTATTCAAACTACAATAGAAATACAGTTGAAGAGGAAAGGGGGGAATACTAGCAATATTTTTTTAAATTCGCGTTTTACAGAAATGCAGTGAATAGCCCAGAAAATGAGGTAAAAGACCAAACTTTTAAAACTGGAATAGAAAATGGATGTAAAATCTGAAGATATGTTTTGTGTAGTGCACAAGACTATCTATAAAATGCTCCAGTTCCTGATCAAATAAGAGTTGACTGATAAAATGCTAGTGAAGATTGACAGAATTATGTCAAAACCATATTAAGCATTTATACTTAAGGTATACTTTTTGGTATGAAAATAAATTAGAACAAATGAAAACATATTAGCTAACCTTACTAATAATTCATATGTTATAGCCTCTTCATTTTGTAACTGGTTCAGCTGAATTATCCTCATTTGGCAGTGCTTTGGAGGAAAAAAGAAAGCAATAGTAATAACAAGAAAATTTGCTTGAAATTTACTAACTTCCTTAAAGGTTAGCAATAGTCTGGCTATTTTTTACTTTAAAGGAGTTTTAATCCAATTATATGTTAAACTGTTTCCCTCCAGTTTTTTTCCCCTGTCATATTCAATGCATAGTTCTTTGGGCGCTGAGCATAATATGTAACAAGGAATGGGATTTCAGAAAGTTGAAGGACATAGAAGGAAATGGAAGCAAAACCAGGCACTGGTAATTTTTGTGTAGAGCCTGAGAAAAGGAAAAGAAGTCAGCTAACAGGGTCAAGATGGCAACTCAAGGATGGGGCTATAATGAAGTGGAGAAAATAGATTTTATTTTGGATGGGTTTTATGTAGGCTTACTGCCAGTATGTGAAGGATAGAGTGAAAAAGATGCTTTCAACAAAGGTGTGAGAGATCCAGTGTGCGGGCAGTGCTGCTTAACAGCGAGGATGAATTGGGAAGGAGCCTGCCTTCTGAAAGATAAAAATGACTTGGAGGTGAGTGGTTGAGCAGGCTGGGAGTCTTCATAGAGAATTGCAGGTGTTCACACGTGGATGTGAGGGGAAGGAAATATTTGTGGTGCCAGAGAAGGGCATGAGGGGCCTGTGAAAAGGAGAGGGGTGATGCATTGTGGTGGTGGATGCATGGAGAGCCCTAGGAGCACAGAGCAGTAATTCTCTTCTGAGCAAGATAATTTCCCGGGAGCTACTCAGTGCAGTTCATCACTAAACAGAGCAATTGGGAAGTTTATGGGAAATGTAATTGCTTGAGGGGTGTGTTTTTTCTCCCCCCTAAAGCAAAGCTGGAATTTCTCAAGAGTGTTTTGATGCAGCTGCTTTGATCTAGTCTCAGATGGCTAAAAGCTGAAGCTAAATTGTGTACCTTTGGGGTACTCGAGAAAATTCCCCTGGGAGCTTGATTGCCTTGGCATAGCAGACTCACCTATCAGAAAGAATAAAAACAGGTGTAATGGCAGATTTTATTTCCATGGAACACTTAGTAGGAGATACTAGTGAAGGGATAATGAATACACTTAAGATATAAGGGCTGTTGTTTGAAGGGAATTTGTCAAGAAATGTTTCAGTAGAAATGGTTCCCTGAGTTCCCCCAGAGTTAATACAAATATTCCTAAGATGTTTTTTCTTCATATGTTTAGAAGCCACCACTGATAGAAATGTCATTCCAGGTTATAACATGAAGGAGAATTAAAGCAAATATATTTTACCTTTGATAGCCATTGGTGCTTAAAGTGTTAACTGATTCATGGTGACTTGGTTTATTTGCCTTAATATTTGCCCAGCATACAAACAAGGCCACAGATAATGAATTTAATCCCCCATCAGCACTTCCTCTCATGGAAGACTACTCTCAGGGTTGTCAGCACAGTAAACTTACTTGCTGCAGCTTCATCAGTTCCCATGTAACTAATCCTCTTAAGTAGTTTAGTTGATGTCTGGTGGGAAAAAAAACAAGCTACAGGCAGAAGCCAATCCATAGTTTCTCCTGAGGTGTTAGGCAATACTTGTAATGTCTTAGTTTAGGCCAATCTGAAAATACTATGAAATAGTAGAATATCAAGTGATAAGATAACATTTGTTTCTTAGTTTGTGTGTACTTTTGTCTTCTGTGCAAAGCTTAAAGGTTTCCATTGCAGGAATGTTGTTTTCACCACAGTAGTCAAGATTGTGAGTCTCTTTGGTATAGTTGGAGATAAATGTACCATGGTTCCTTTTGAATTAAAGCTGTTCCTAAAATAAAATGCACTTTCTAATGCACTGTGCTGTGTGGATGACCAATATGTGAGGTAGAGGAAAAAAAATGCAAGCTATGGTTCCTGATGTCTGTTCATCCAGGTCACTCCTCAGCTGTGTGTCACCTGGCATGGTTCATGAGTAGGCTTGTCCCACAGCACTCCTTGGGGTGGTGTGTGTTGCTGTTGAACTTGGTTTAAATCCAGACTAAAACATGAATTACCAGTGAATGACTGTTTGTATTTTGATACTACACTTTTAACTTTAATACACATAGAAGGATGCAGGAAGTAGGTGTGTGATTTCAGTGCACATCAACAACACAAGCATGTATGACCCTAGGAATCCAGGGCACAGAAAACCTTGACTTCTGATCTGGTCTTACAAGGGTTTCCTGAAAGACAAGAATGGTAGGCTCATCTCAGCAGGACCCAGCAGTTACACAGGCCAGGTAAAGTTTTATTCAAAGAAACAACTAAAAGCAGTTTTATCTAACACACATTTGTAGACCGGTCAGTTCATTTCTATTAACATCTGTGTAAGTGAAATGACTGGCATTTATCACTTTACTGGTTTGAAGCATTATCCAGATTTTATCTGTTTCTGTCATCCTGGAATGCTAGTACTTTCAAGTGTGTTTGCAAACCTTGGTCCTCACTGAAACTAACTTAGGGGCAGTGCTTGTGTATGCCTTTGTGTGCGTGTTGTTTCTTGGAGTTCTTTTGTGATCTTGGTCAAGGAGTGCTGGAGAATGCCTGGCTCAGGAAAGGTGGTGATGAACAGATGTGGTGTGAACAGAGGCCTAGGGCCTGTTGTGTGCAAAGAGCTCTTCAAAGCCACCCAGAATCAGGAAAAGAGCACGCAGTACCAGGTGGGATTAGCACAGGATGGCAGTTATTTCCAAGATCTTTCTAGGTTGTACTTTAAAAGACTCAGTTAATTTCAAATTAGCAAAAATAGAAACTGTGAGTATATGGAGCAACTTTCAGTACAAGCCATAGTGGATTCTATAAAATAGTGCTGAGTTAAGAAGCTGATGTAGTACAGCTAGATTTACAGATAAACCCTAAAATGATAAGTTGTCACAAGTGTAATTGATCCTTAATATAAGAACCAAAAATACTACATTTGTAGTGAACTTTTAAAATAAGTGTTCTTTTTAACAATATTGTTAAAAGTGTACTTTGAGATAAAGTTCCACAGCTGTTTTAGCAAGTATCGAATTTCTCAGGTGAAGTTCTTCAGTGAGAGTCACTAATATCTAAGACACATTTGTCTTATCTAGATAATGAGAAAATCTAAACAACCAATTAAAAAAGGAGAATAGTATTAAGAGCTATTATTTTGGTTCTGCACAGAAAGGGGTGCCAGGCAATAGTTTGCAAAGCTAGTGCAGCTTTTGGGAAACAGGTAGGGTCTTATACACAAAATAACAACAAAGGAGAAACTGCAGTACAATGTATGATCGGTTTATAAGGATTTAATTTGCCATTCCTAACTACACATATGCATCTAAACTCATGTTTAAAATATTTTAGGGAGATTACCTGATTAGCATGCTCAT